TTTCAAAACAAGTCTTGACTTGTGTTACAAGATAATCATCGCTCCTGTGGTCAGTTTACTGAAGCAGCAGCCCGAGATCATAATTGTCCCCGATTCCTGTGCGTACCAAGTGCCATTTGCAGCCTTGGCTGACGAAGGAGGCAAGTATTTATCAGAGACATGCAGGATTCGGATAGTTCCCTCCCTGACGACTCTCAAGCATGTTCAAGACAGTCCTCCAGACTATCACAGTCAGACCGGGGCACTGATAGTGGGTGACCCTATGGTTGGAACGGTGATTTACAAGGGAAGGTGCAGAAATATGCTACCATTGCCGTGTGCAAGAAAGGAAGCAGAGATGATTGGAGGACTTCTTGGAGTAAGGCCTTTGATAGGAGATTCCGCGACAAAGTATTCTGTGCTCCAAGCGATAAGTTCAGTGAGCCTGATACACATTGCTGCCCATGGTGAACCCGAAAGAGGGGAGATTGTTCTTTCTCCTATGCACCCTACCCTACTCCCACCTTTCCCTCGAGAGGAAGAGTATCTTTTGACGATGGCGGATATTTCAAAAACTCAGTTACGAGCTAAACTAGTGGTGCTTAGTTGTGATCACAGTGCTCGTGGACAGATCAGAACCGAGGGAGTTATTGGAATTGCCCGAGCGTTCCTAAGATCCGGAGCTCGTTCAGTGTTAGCGGCACGATGGGTCCTGGATGACAGAGCCACAGAAAAGTTTATGACTTGTTTCTACAAACATCTGTTCCGCGGTGAAAGCGCCAGTGAATCTCTCCACAAGGCCAGGAAGTGGATGAGAAATAACGGCTTTGACAAAGTTTCTCAATGGGCGACATTTATGATCATGGGCGACAACGTCACATTTGATTTTGGAAATTGGCCGGTGCCTAGCGCACCTCAAGAGCCATGACTTTGATAAAACCTCTGTAGCAGAATGAATTAGACTTAGTAAAGCTCGAAACTATTTAATTACAAGCCTGTAGAAAGAGGACGCCATCTGCGAAGGACAACTCGGATCGGTACACAGAGGAAAGCACTTCTGTAAAATGTTCATAAGACATCTAAGTTTAATGATCTGAAACAAGACAGCGTATAGTGTTATCTCTTTATAGGAGTTCCGAAGTTAAAAAACTCCAATTTTTTTTTTGAGTCATCAGTTCAGTGAATGAGTCAATTAAAGTGTGATAATTCTTAGTTTTAGAAGGCAATTAATTCGTCAAGGGAAGAAAATTTTAATCCTTTTTCAGCTGATTAGTTAGTCATTTCAAGTGACTTTTAAAAAATGTGTGACTTGGGAAAGAAGTTTTTCTTTTTGGAAATTTCTTGCAAAGCTTTTGACAAGAAATATTGTGGTTTAACATGCTAAAATAAAGACAAAAAAATAAAATAAAGAAAAAAAAGATATACTTGTATAGTAATGCAAACCCTTGTATTCTCATAGATACCCCAGTAATTTTATCAATCTAACCCTTTAACCCCAAAGAGTGACTGGCATCTAATTTCTCCTCACAATATCACCCCTGAATCAAACATTAAGGTCATGAGAATAACGGAAATGATCAACAAGACCCAGCAAAACCTCCTTGTCAGCACCATAGGAAATGCAGAGAAAACAGTAAGGAGAATATGCATACTGATCTTAGGGTGTAAAGGGTCAATCGATACCCTTATGCGTAGATACGGTTGTATCTTCACACAGACTCTTGTATGCTTATAGATACTTTTGTATACTCATTATCCTTCACTTCCGCTCTGCCGCTACTATTTCGCTCCGTTTTATCAACTGAACGTCTCGAAAAGGTTACTTTATTATCAAAGGAAAATTTATGAATTCATGAAAATTTAACAGAACTCAAAGATAAACATATCTTTATTTTCTTTCAAAGGAAAGCAACGCGCGGTCAAGCCGCCTCACAGTTCGAGAGTTGCACCGAAATGGCTTCCATGTAAAATACTTTACATTTCAATTATCAAACAAAAAATGCCGTTAAAAGGCAGAACTAGTTAGAATAAAATAAGACACCCTGAAAATATGTCGAAATAGTTCTACGGAAGTTCAAAATTTGAAATACAGAGGTGAAAAACCCGAGACTTTCCGTTTTAGATCCCTTTGCTTTGACTGAAGCGCTTTCCGAGTTTGCTCGAACGGGATGTCTTTCAGGGATGTCTTGTTTTTTGTCTTCAAACGGCGCTCAAATTTTGCGAAGAATGCCCTTAAGGAATTAGGCTCATATTCCCCGTTGTCTTCTTTTTTGCGAACCGTTATAAGGAACTCACTGAGAAACTTGTTCAGCTCTTGAAGAGTCAATTCGTCCATTTGTCTCGTCTCGTCTTTCAAAACAAGAAATTCGTCGAACAGAGCAACATCGCGTTTGGTCCTTTTCTTTTTGTTTTCATTTTCCTGTCCGTCTATGAACTCTTCTGCTGATGAATCTAGGCTCTGAAAACGCCGTTGGTCTGATTTGAAGCCTTCTTTCTAAAGGAAAATGCGCGTAAGCTCTTAGAAATGTGCTGTTTGTCAGTCAAGAGGAGCGGCGAGCGAGCGACACGGTTTTGTTCACCGGTGAAAATAATGATATAGCCAATCAAAGCGTCGATACGTCGTTTTCAGCTAGTGAAAAATATCGAATGACTAATCAGCTGGCTTCTCTAGCTCGAAGAGACTATTTCTATCTCGATGCTTTTTGGTGCGTAAATCCCGGTATGTACATAATAATTATATTTATGAAGTTTAGCAATATAAGTTTTCTAGTACTTCAAAACAGCGAAAATTACTAACAAGAAGATGTGACCCTCATGTAACACCACTCAATAATTCTAAAGATAAATGAAATGTTAAGTATTTGGCAGCCACAAGACAAAATTATTCATCAGATGTAGGGAATCACTGAAGTGGTTGAAACTGATTTATTAAATGTGACTTATTGAACACCTTCGATCTAATAAGTGTGGATTGTTTAACGAGTTGTCTCAGAATTTGTCCCACTCTCAGCTCAAAACAGTGTTAAAATGCAAGGTGAACGTGGCATCATGAAAATCGGACTCATTTTCTGTCAACAAACTGCACTCTAACGGGTCTGTTAGGAACGATGACCCCTCTTATGAACGGCTCCACATTCTTTGCCCCAGGTGGGTAAGAGATGTCAAACTGTTGCACGATTCTGGCCATCAGCGGTTTAAACGCTTCGGCATCTTCAAAAATACTCTTATCTCGCCCCATTTAGTGAACAAGGAACTCAAGTTGATCAGTGCCCCCAGGGATATGGTAGCCCCCCTAATATTATGTCTTCTTTCGGATATAAAACAGGATATAGTCAGAGAGTCTCTCGTAGCCAGGCCATCAGGTATGGCATACGAGGGAGCGTTTCTGGCGTTGCAAAGGTAGAATTTCCAACCACTAAGAGCACTTCCTGTCGAAGAATCTTCTGTTTCTCAGGATTTTTGGCCAACATATGAAGAACCCATTGCATCGTGTTGGACGTAATGTCAACTCCTGCAAGCAAACCATCGAATACGCTCGCCAACAGGTCATCAATCGGGTAAGTATGTCATGTGTGGGGAATTATTATGTCCCCAATACATATAATGTCCTATTATGTACAGTAGGTACATCCATATACGCTGTCTACAATAGGTACAACTTCACCGTCTACAGCAGTTACAATTACCTACACTGACTACAGTAGGTACAGCTATCTACACTGTCAACAGTAGGTACAGCTATCTACACTGACAACAGTAGTACAGCTTTCTACACTGTCTACAATAGGTGCAACTATCTACACTGTCAACAGTAGGTACAACTATCTACACTGTCCACAGTAGGTACAGCTGTCTACTCCGTCTACAATAGGTACAACTATCTACACTGTCTACAATAGGTACAACTATCTACACTATCTACAGTAAGTACAACTGCCTACGCTGTCTACAGTTTGTTTTACCTGTTAATCACATGAAATTTTTGCCTCGGTTTTGGGATGAATCTCTAAATTGGAAAAATGTCCATCACCCATTAAGTTCTTACATAGTGATCGATGGGGTCGTGAAGTTGTGAGAGAATTTCTTAATCTCAATCTTGATGTAAATTCTTATTGTGCTCGCAGTTATGCGATTACCTAAGCTAATTTTATATGAAGGAAGCATGCTTTTTCAAAAGTAACTCGTCCTCTAACTATGAAATCATCAACTAAACCCTCTTTTTGGTGACAAAAGAGTAGAAAAATTTTGCGGGTACCTCGGTGACTTTTTTCTTTTTGAGAAAGTATTTTTCTATGTTATTGAACTTGGCTCTGTTATTTACTTCTAATGCTTTTTTAATTCTACTTATTTTCTCGCAGGAAGCAATGAAGAGGATATCGCGTCACAAGACCATAGCCACTCTGTAAATGTCACTGGATTTTGCAAATCATTAATTTAGATGGAGCTTTTCCTCTAAAATAGGTACGATGAACCTCCCTTCCCATTTTTTTTTTGTGTGTGCGACATGAGTAAGTCGTTATTTAGCGTAAGAAAAGTTTCAGAACAATCTGAACAGCGAAGATTTCTGCTTTTTCTATGGCATGAACTGCCTTGTATTAAACAAGGGCATTCGTTTTGCGTTGTCCAACTTCATCACGACAAGATATGTCGTCACTGTTTTTTTTCCTTCGCCGCGTCTACAAAAGGTCTCTTTAACTTTTTTTTTTTGTTTGCGCAGCCCCTGCATCTACATTTTGTAGGACACTTCCATTTTGAGCGGACACATGAACACGATCTTGTCTCATAACTTGGCAAAGAACGTTCAACACACGATCTTTCTCTGTTCTTATTATTTCTTCCACGACTACAACCTCAGTGAGTCGCCAATTGATGATTTTTCCTTCTTCACTCATAATGTACAAGTTTTTAAACTGCGTTATGAATTTCTCATCTTAGCCAGGGCCTTTTCTTCTGTAAGTCCCGCTATCTGCTTTTCTGCTGTGAAGTAAAGTGATCTCGTTAAGGAAACTCGATGTTTTCAATTCTATTGACTGATAATCAGTACAATCTGTATATGGACTTGTGCTCTTATTTTCAAACGCTTTCGTACACGTTTTTATAACAGACGACCTGTGGATTATATTTTAATTACTTACGTGACTTTCGTATTTTGCAAGATTTATGTCAAATTTTCTGATTAGGCTAAACAAACGATGGTTTTATACATTTTTAAATCTAGAAAAATGCAACAATGAGATGAGTGTTTACTCAGCTTCAAGCAATACAGTTGATCAGGGCAAAAAACCGAAGCTATAAATTTTCTCGTACACAAGATCTCAGTACGACCACACTGAATCATAGGGCACGTTCAGTGTGACAGTAATTTGGAAGAGTTTGATAATTCATCTGCTTCACAAATATCCCTCAGAAAAAGAAAAAAAATAGGAGCTTGTTCAAAGGTGTAAATACAGTTCTTTTAAGATTATGGCCGAATATCTGCAATTTCATCGCTTTATTGAGCTTCGTCCATCTGGTAAGCATAAAAACAAAAGCTGGTTCTTTGTTCGTTAATCTATCCGGAACAAACGGAAGATATAAAACTGCTTCACTTGGTGCTATTACCATTGTTGGCAATTGTAGTATTTGTGCGGATGTCTTCATGACCAAATCCCCACGCATCTTGTCGTAAACTCCTGGTGATTGAAATTCCTCCGCTTTTTCCTGAAGGGTTTCAACATCATCTTCTTTAGGTAGTTCAAGTTCTTCTTCTCCACTTAAGACCTCGTCAACAAAAAGTTGCCCCAAGTGATAAGTGTCTTTCTCTTCAGTCTTCAACAAACTGATGCTCTCCAAATGTTCTTTGAATAGTGTATTTCCTGCAATAAGTTTATAAATTTGCTTCACTAAGTTTCTAAAGGCACAGTCTCCGTCGGCGACTACTTCTTCTATTTCCAGGCCAAAATTTCTCTACAATATGCTTCGATTCCTGTCGATACTTATGTCATCTTCATATGCATCAAACAGGTTTTGAAAACTAATGAAATCTGGCATATTGATCATTTCCTGTATGTCTGAAGCTTCAAATGCCCTGCTTTGTTTCTTGGCCTCTAAGTTTGTGATGACCTCATACATATCGGATGAAGCGTCCAGTATTACCCTAGATACAAATTCCGTGTGCACATCCTCAATTTCCCCTGCAACAACGGTGGTATCTTGCTGATAATTGCTGGAGTTTACATCCGAAATGAGGCCGTCCTCTTGTAAAGTGTGATACTCCAGTGCTTCCTTTAAAAGGAGGTAAGAAACTTGAAGACTCATCTTTCTCTTCTATTTTCGCATTATGTACCTCAATCGGCAGAGCGCATCCTACTCTTGGATTGCATTTATGCTTTGTTAGTAAAGTCCGACTATTGTGGTGATAGAAAAGCACAGCGAGAATCGCTACAACTAATTCCACGTTGATTCTTGTTGCTCCTGACAACAAGGATCTGTTTAGCAGCTTGTGCAGCTGTTCATTCCGCTCTGTTCCGAACCCTGGAGGTATTCCCGATAGACAATTGTTAAGGATGTGTTTTTTAAGTCTTTTTATTTCTTCCAGAGTTTCCTTGGTAAGAGGAGAGACGACTACATAGTCCAACCTCTTCAGGAAAATGTTCAAGTTTTGGAGAATTTTTACTTTGCAGGGTTTTTCCTGCAAACGAACATCTCCTTGATCATGGTCCTGTCAAATTCCTCTTCAAATGCTCTTTTGAGAAGGTGGTTATCATGTTTAAACGTTTTGCATACTCTTTGACAAGCATGGTAAGGATCAAGTTTCCAGGAGTATTTTTAAATATTGATTGATACTTCTTGCGAACCTTGCAACAGTCGTCAATACAAATAAGTTTCAGCTTTTTGTTCTGTTTTCCAAGTCTTGCTTTATTCGCCTCTAGCACTTCTTGTATTTATTTGAAAGAAGTTGCCTTAGTGAGTCGCCAATTGATGATTTTTCCTTCTTCACTCATAATGTACAAGTTTTTAAACTGCGTTATGAATTTCTCATCTTAGCTAGGCCTTACTACTCCAATATTTTTAATGACTTTGAAAGTGTGATCACATGAGATCGCCAGACCTGTCACCTTATTCATTTCACTTTGATACACATACTGTTTATTTGAGGAATCCCTCAAACAGATGCAACTTATTTGATCATTGCTCAGAAAGGAGTATAATATGTTGTCGTGAAACTGTCTCACTAAACGGTTCTCCAGTAGCTTTATTTTCGTTTCGTGCAGCGTTGTATATTTGGCCACGCCTGCAGAACTCTGCTATCTCTCAACTGACCTTCATGAAGTTCACTCCTCTGATCAGATTTGAATTAATAAAATCTAAAACTGCATTTGTGCACCCACTGCGATTAAACATAGTTATTAAGAAGATTGCCTGTATGTTGCGGTTAACTTTTTAAGAAATCATTGCAAGATGAAACGATCTTATGGGGACGGCGAATCAAATATTAGCCTTGGTATTCGGTCCTTATTTCCAAATTCACCAGTATTGAATTGCCACGGTACAAGAGGGACATCAAGGGCGGGGCATTTGATGACACAGTCAACAAACTGCTCTTGAGGACTCCATACAAACACCTTTGGTTTGAAAAAATCTGCTTTTGTTGTTCCTCGTAAAGAGGACTAATGATATTATGGGAATTTCCATCATTTGGATTTTTGTGAAATCTTTGATTACATTTTGAAGGTAGCAAATTATCATTTAGTAGAACAGTCTTTCTGAGTCTTCCCTATTGCTAGAAATTATTATTAGCAACATGTCAAATAGTAACAAAAAATTTAACCACAACTCATTACATGAACAGAATGTTCTTCAGCAAATTTGGACAAATTTATGAAACTGAATCACTGAATTTGGACCATTTCAGGACTTGTAACCTTCAGGGATTCTGTATTAACGGTAACACAACTTTAACTTTTTTCAGTTACTTTTATTAGTTAGCAAGTCAAACTTTCAGTTTGAACTCCAAAATTTTTATTACATCATCCTGGTATTTTGGGTGAAGTTCATTTTTAGGGACCTGCAAAAGAAAAGTAAGGCTGGCATTAATTAACTTTGCACTGACATTACCTGGATTATTTTCCAGTTCTACTTTCCAACATTATTCCAGTTTTGGTGCATTGTGAATAGCCTACCTCTCAATAACATTTGATTTGACAAGCCAGGATGATGCATCTTAAAAGACATGGTTTGTACAACATGGCAATCATGTGAATGTGATTGAAAAGGGAGGCAAATGACAGTGAGATTCTGACAAGGATTCACGATTACTAGATGGTCAATCTTCACACAATTATTTTCCAATTCTATTGACATTGTTCTTATTCCCATAATTCTGATATTTTTCTTGAGGATTTTAATTTTTATTCAAGGAGATTTAAGGGGAAGTATGTCCCAAATACCTGATACAACTTTTTTCTTTTTTAATTTTTTCCATCAGTAGTATTTTATTAATAGTATCATGGTTTTTGGCAAGTTTTAAACTAGTATTTACTTGTTTAAAACAAGCTGGGTGTGAATGCGGGACATCACTCACAGGATGATTGGTTAATCCCATGTTAAAACAAAATTCTTTCACACGCTTTAAGAAACAGTAGCCACAATAATGATGTTCTTGAAGATGTAAACAAAGTTTACTGATGCAAAGCAATGAGATGTTAACAAGGCTTGGAGATAAAATGATGCATTAAAGCAAAGCCATGAAAACAGACAGAGTAAATGATAGAAGCAATATATAAAACCGTTTAAAGCTGTTTCAAATACTAAGAAGTAGATACAAAAAAAATATATTCAAACAGACTGAAAAACTATGGTAAACTTTGAGAAAAAACTCTAGATCTCATGAAAATTATGGAAAAAGGTTAAGAGACTTCTGTATCCAGGTTTGGGATTTTACAGAGCTGACATTGTACCTTAGAAACTAACATGATGAATAGCCAGCCTGAACTGAAAGTTTTCCTGAACATGTGCGATAAACTATACTGAATGGTACAAAAAACCACTGAGCAGTACAAAGGATAATAACTTTGATTGTACCATTTACAGTGTGTGTAAATACATGTAAATAAAATTCTATTGTTTTGACCACAGGAAATGGGAAATGTCTCTATTAAAGAAACTCCAAAAAAACCATATGTTGTCCTCCTCTCCAGATTGATCAGCATTAGAAAACATGTTTATAACAAAACAAAATCACAAAAGGAAATACAAAACAGGAAAACTATTTGGCAGTAAACATTGAGCCTTACTGATCCATGGCATCATCATCATCATCATCAACCTTTTCTTCATTTAGGTAAAAAGCATATTAACTTTTTAACCCCCATAAGTGACTGGCCTCCAACTTCTCCTCACAGTATCACTCATTGAATTAATTATTTAGTTCATGAGAATAAAAGAAATGATCACTTATTTTGAGAGGCTCCTGATTTTATAACAAATTCTCCTCATCAGTGCCTTAGAAAAGGTAGACAGAAAAATGTGTGAATACCAATGTAAGGGTGTAAAGGGTTATGTTACTACTTGTCACCTTTTTATGTTTCCAAAGAATAACATTTAATAGTTCAGGAATGGTCTTCAAATGTGCTAAAGATTCAATTGTGAATGTCATCATTTTGAAAACTCCTTTGTGAGTTTAGCTGTGTAAAGCAAGCAAGCTTGCTATAAAAAATTTGGTTTTGGTTATTGTGAAAACTAATTTTTTTTAAGTGAA